AGGGGGGTTCTCTGAGGACCCTGAGGACAAGGAGGTGTGAGCTGGGGACTCCCCCTCCCCTCCCTGGGAGCTGGGTGAGTGAGGACCCCCTGCCGTCTGTCTTTCCCCTCCAAATCTCCATGCCCCTGGGTGTCGGTGCCCCTCGCCCACCCCCTGCCCCTCCCTGTCCCTCCCTCTGTTCCTCTGTCTCTAGGTCCCCAGGCTCTGCTCCCACTGGGCTCCTGGGTGGCTCCAGGTCTGCTGCTCCCTTTCCCCAGACCCTTTCCTGAGGTGGGCAGGGGACCCCTGCAGGCTGCCACTCAGCCCAGGTCATGCTGCTGCACAGAGGGGTCCCAGCCGGATGTGAAAATCAGCAGGAAGGCAGGTGACATGGGGCTCCCCAGGGTCACCCCAGCACATTTTGAACTTTATTGTAAATTTCCTTTGATCAAAGTCACTTCATTTCTGTGCGTCATCAGCGGGATGCACTTTCCCATCACACACTTTCTCACTTGCCTTGTGACTCCTCCCCTTGCCTGTTGGTGACTAGGAGAGTAAAATGGCCAAACGTGGCACGTGGTTGGGGACCAGTTATTGTGACTGGGAATCAGGTGACTTCCAGCAGGTCGCAGATGCTCCTGGCCATGCATGTCAGGCCCCAGCCTGGCCGTGACACCCAGCTGCATGTCCATGGGCTGTCTAGTGCCTGCTGGGGTCCCCGTGTCCCTGTCCTTGCAGCATGGGATCTGAGCAGTGTCCTGGGCTAGTGGAAGGCCAGGGTGGTGTAGACACTGGGCTCAGTGGGAGGCTCCTGTCCCTGGGAGGAAGGAGGAGTGGCTGTCTCCTTGAGCTTGAGGTAATTCAGCTGGGCGTAGGTCACATCCTGGGGGGCACCAGATACAGCTACCTGGAGTGACGGCAGAGTGGTGACAGGTGAGGCTGGTGTCTGGGGAGCTGGGGCCTGGAGGGGACAGGACCCACATGACACCCTTCAGGCTGTCCTCTCCCTCTGATGTGTCCTTCATGACCAGGAATGGCCGTGACTCAGGGGATAAGTGGACACTCCACAATGGCCCTGATTCTGGACACAGGTAACAGCCCAGGGGTCTTCATCTACAGGGCTCTATGGAGAGGACAGAGGCAGCTGATTCCTGAGTCCACTCTGGCTGTGCCCCTCACCTCCCACAGGGAGCTGGAGGGACCTGCAGCCAGCAGTCAGCTCTCCATGCCCAGCAGAACTTCCAGGGGCTTCTCAGGCTCTGCCAGAGCAGAGGCACCTGCAGGACCGAGCCCTGCCCACCTCTGTCCTGCCACCTGTCACACCTGCTCCTCATGCATCACCTGCAGCCACCTGGACTCGTGCCTGCTGGACAGGTCAGCCTGTGCCCACTGGCCTCACACTGCTGCTCCCTTGGCAGGACCCTCTTCCTGAGATGCTCTCAGGCCTGTCCCTGTGGTGAGGGCTCTGTCCAGGGTCCTCCCCAGGGAACCCTCCTTGACTGTCCAGTTACCCCTCCTGCTCCTGCCCATGGCCCTCCGCCCACCTGGCTCTGTCCTGGGTTCACAGCCGTCGCCCTGCCTGGTCTCCCCACGCCTGTCTGCCTCTGCCCCGTCTGTCTGTCCCGGGGCTGTCCTGTGTCTGAGCACCAGGCTGTGTTTGCTGCTGCTGTCCCCAGCCCCCAGTAGAGCCTTGCCAACAGCAAACCCCCAGGAGTCGGCCATCTGTGTGGCTGGGAGGGGGCCAGTGCAGGGCAGGGCTGTGGCCAGGTCCACCTCCTACTCAGGAGCAGGGGCAGCGAGCTCAGCAGGGGAGGAGGCAGAGGAGAGAGGCCAGCGCCCAGGCCTCAGGGCAGGAGGCCGACCAGAGCCCTCAGCACTATCAGGTGGGAGGAGAGAGGAGGGCAGCGGGCAGAGAGAGGAGGGCGGGGGAGAGGGCGGGTCACCTGGTGGCCTGGGGTGGCCTCTGGGGAGGTGACAGCAGTGCTGAGCCCTGTGTGACGAGAAGAAGGCAGACCTGTGAGGCCACCACGGGCTCTTGCTGGGTCTCCTGGGTGGTCCTGCTGCTCAGGGTGACAACCAGGGCTTCCCATCTGTGTGCCCTGAGCACAACTGGCTAATTCCCCTGGGACGCCACCACGTCTCCCCCTCCCCACTCACCTGCCTTCCTGCATTGTCCCC